CAAATCCATGTTGTATCTCTTTAGAATTGGCGCCACCTCTAAGTTTTTTTTCCCGTGGTAACGCACGGGCATCCAACTAGTTGTTATAAATGTTTTTGCAACACCGCTCTTTTCGCCTTGTTTTTTTATATCGTTAATATTTCCTTTTTTTTGGGTGCTACAGATAGGCAAAGAGACGGCCTATTGTACAGGCTGTTTTTAAGGCTATCTCCAACTGACGTGGGGGATTGCTATAGACGAAGGATATCTAAACTGATGTACGAGCCCGTAGTAAAGGGCAGTTGTACCGTGCCACGAGCCACGTCAGAGGAGCTGCTGGCTGGCTGGAGTTACAACAAGCCAGCGGACGCCGCCGCCGCCGCCGCCCCAACCGGCTCAGACCTGCGACCGCCTCTTCCTCTGGCTCCTTAGGTCCGACGGGATTCCTTCCGCCGACCGCCCACACCGTCGTCTCAACGGCGCACTTGTCGCCGTGCATCGCCCGGCTTTGCCGCTAGAATCGGATCGGGGGCCGGATTTCGGCCGAGAGAGGGTAGGCGGCGGTGGATTGGTCCGCTGGCGGAGGGCATTCTCTCGCGATCGAGTTCCTTCTTCCTTCCCACCGGGCTGGCTCCTCACCAGAGATCTATACGGTACCAACGCCCTCTCCCCTTGCGTATCTCGCTCCACAAAGTTCCATCCTTTCTGATCTGAAACTAAGAAAGAATCATGCATGCATGTTGATTCACAAACCAGCTGGGACATAATTCCTCAGATGCAGGTTCTAAACCTATTTCAGATTCAGTAAGGCTTGGTGGGACCAATTAGGGAAACAAGAGTGCACTAATAAGTACTCCTATAATGCGTCTGAAATTACAGTTTGTTTGTTACTATCTGATCTGATGATACCTTGCTTCGTTCAAGGTCCACTTGATAGCAAGGAAGTAGTAACATGTCTTCTCCGTATGTAAACTGATCAAGTAGTAACAAACATGCTCTGTTTTCATGTCTGCATCTATAACTTGTCTCACACACATAATAGGCTTGCCGCTTGCTTTCTTTTTGGAAACTTAAGTAACAATTAACTCTCTTTTCTACACTTAACTAATTAATGATAATAACCACCAAAGTAGGAGTGCTAGCTAGTCTCAGGTTAGGCTTTGACCTTTTGATTGATGTCTCACTCTGTTTTCACTGTTTGTGTGTGTGACCTGCTTCTCTTTCAGGCAGAGCAGAGGCTAAGATAGTTTTTTAATGGCAAACATAAATATTGGTTCAAATGAAGATCTGCATCAGACTATGATGATGATGAGATCAAAGAGAAGAAAGGGGCTTCAACTCACCAACCTGCCAAAGGTATGGAATATATATCTATATATTTCGACGAATGCACTCATGCCAAGTTATTACTAGTAGAATCTAATCTAAGCAAGTATATCAACTTGCTGTCCTCCTCCTACTTTTCCTTCACAATGCACAACAACTGAATTTGCTCATCATTGTTCAACAATCTAAATGCCATTCTGTCTTTCACTCTAGGACATTCTCTGCAGCATCCTCTCACGACTGCCTCTAAAGGAAGCCGTGCGGACGAGCATACTGTCGGAACGGTGGAAGCATCTCTGGCGCTGCCACTCAAATCTAGAATTCAGTCTTAGATCAGTGTTGCCAGGTCCTCGTACCAACGGACCCAACGATGGTAGGCCATGGAAAGACGTGTTTATTCAGAGAGTCGATGCGGTCCTGCAGCAACACTGTGGTGCAGGGGTCGACAACATTCAGTTCCAGGCTCCGTGCGACGATGAGCATGGGGAACGGATAGAGGGATGGGTCCGCTTTGCCGTTGCTTCCAAGGCGAGGCAACTTATTCTCGATTTCTCAGCCACACACCACATACAACAACATCCATATAAAATCGATTTGCGGCTTCTCGATGACAGTGAAAGCTCACACCTGCAATCCATAAAACTCTGTGCCGTTTCTCTGAAGGTGCCCGCGGATTTCAAGGGTTTTCGGAACCTTAAACGGGTTTTCCTAGCAGACACGGATATTACCGACGGCGACCTTCAACATCTGGTGTCCAACTGCAGCAGTGTTTTGGAGTTCCTTGGAATCTCTGGCTGTGGGATGCTCACAAGGTTACGGATATCTCATCTTTCAAACAAGCTTAAGCATTTGCAAGTATATGACTGCCGTTTGCTTCGAGCGATGGAGTTTAACTTTGGTCTGGTAAAGCTCGAGTACAAAGGCCCTTCTATAATACTGTTATCGCCTCCTGGAACTTTACTTCTAGCAGATGTATGCATCAAGCTGGAGGGCATCTCTACTAATTCTCTAGAGTACATGTTCACCAAGCTTTGCCATAATGCGCCCCGTGTCGAGACTCTGACTCTAAGATGCCATGAGGGGAAGGTTTGCGTTTTCGTGCATCCGTATTTGAGGTTTCTTAGGTCAACTTTCATTGCCGATTTTGTTGTTTGTGTTCTAACTTGTGCTATGCATTTGTGTGATTCAGATGGCTGCATTGCCAGGAAAGCTGCACGAGTTTGTTCATTTGAAGCACCTGACACTGGGCTTGACTTTTGGGTTTGGGACAAGGACAAGTGATATTCTTCAATTTGCCTGCCTTCTGGTTGCTGCTCCTTTCTTGGAAAAGCTGGAATTTCATGTCAGTTTGGCCTTTCAACTTTCATTCTACTCTAGTAACCATTAGAAATTTGATGAGTATGACATTTTATCTACAGATGTGGCTGCGCTGCCAGCATGAAAAATACAGCGCGGATAAAGGGCGTCTCCGGAGCCTTCCCTCACAGCCACACTCCCATCTCAGGGCGGTCGACATCACGGGGTTCTACGGCGAGAAGGACCAGCTGGAGCTGGCGCTCCACATCCTCATAAACTCCGTCGTGCTGGAGTCGATGAAGATAGACCCAGAACCTGTGGCCGCCCCCGCCGGTCTCACCCGACTGGTGCGCCCGGAGGCTCCTCATTTTGCAGACGGCTACGAAGTCGCCCGGGAGTTCCTCCGCAGCAGAGACTGCCGCGATGTTGTCCACGTCGTTAAGCCTCTGGCATGTCGTGTGAGGCCGCTCATGTTTGGCGCCCGCACGCGTATCGGTGCAACCCAACGCGCGTCTTTCTTCGCAGAGCTGCGTAGAAGAGAGGCGAGGAATGCGGCGTAATGGTCGCGGCCGGGCTTCCTGAAGCTATGCATACACCGGTGACATTTGGTACCATTCATTCAGAGTTGGTCAAAACTCTTTGTGTTGAACAAGATCCATTTGGTAGCATTCTTTCATAGTGAAAACTCTTTTGTTCGATCATCATGGAAAAGAAAAGACTTCTTGTTCAGAGCTTGGCTTGGCATCATGTATGTTGATTGGTCAAGCTCTCCATCTCCATGAATGTTTTTCAAAATTCATGCAATTTTTTCAAAAAGAAAAAAAATCGGAATATTTAAATATTGTCTCTACTTTTCTTTTTCCAGTTTTTCTTCCTCTGTTTTATTCCTTCTCTTCTCATGCCGGCCTTCATTGCTGTTGCTGATCTGAATGAAGCCCTACTTTCTTGTTTTGCATATATGGTGTGCAACTTTCTTGTGTTTTTGTATGGGACAGTATAATCATTAGACGTCTGATTTTCATCGTTCAATGTCTGGTTGACACATGTTTTTTCTAGGTTAATAAAACCTAGAAAAAAAACCAATCAAAACCCAAAAACTCCCCCAAAATTATGAAAACAACCCAAGAACACTTGCAGAAACAAAAAAAAAATTGTGCGTCCACGTGCGACACGTGACGGCTGCTGGACGCACCACGTGGTGACTGGAGCACTCGTCGTGCACCTCGTGATTGTCCGCTGGGAAGCCCCATCCAGGGGGTACCTGTGGATTAGTTAATCCCGCTATGTCTTCCTTCGCGGGAACTCCTATTTAGTGCGGGGCGCGCTGGGAAACCAGCCAACGCGCACACCCCGCGCGCCCTTGCCAGCCCATGTGCGGGGCCGGATGACCCCTATTTTTTATTATGTTTTTTACTTTTTGTATTCTATTTCCTTCTTTTTCTTATTTAAAATAATTCATGATTTTAAATAATTCCAAATTTTTAAAATGTTTGAGAAATCTTAAAATGTTTATGAATCCAAAAAATATTCATCATTTCGGAAAATGTTCATGGATTAAAAAAGATTAAGTGATTTTTTTCGAAACAAATCACATATTCCAAAAATGTCCAGGATTTTGAAAAAAAATTCAAGATTCTGAACAATATCCATGTATTCAAAAAATGTTCATGATTTTGAAAAAATGTTTGTGTATTGAAAAACCAATCATGCAATTTAACAACATTTCACCAAATTAAAAAGTGTTTAAAATTTTTGATAATTGTTCCCAAAAATACAAAATGTTATTTAATAAAAAATATTATATGATTCAATGCGTTTTCGTAAATATGAAAAATGTTCATGCGTATCAAAATAATATCCGTCAAGACAAAAAAATGTTCATGCATTTAAAAACTGTTCCCATCTTTTTCTTAAACTAGATGATACCCCGCACGTTCTTGCGTGAATATTTTGCAACATATTTCAATGTGATTCGTTGTATGAAACATGAATATTTGAAGTAATACTATAAAATCAAAAATGAAAATACATATAATTTATTATGTTTGATTACTATATAGTTGTAAAATGTTTATTAAATATGAATAGCATAATAGATTGAAAATTCTCATGTATTTTTGTATGTTTGGATGGGTCTTTTTTCATGCATGTTTCATGATGAAGTGTCATGCTTGCAAGTTAAGACATATGGTAGTGGGGGTGGGCCTTTTCTCATGCATGTTGTGAGATGATGTGGCATGCTTGCATGTTGAGAGAAATAGTTAGCGGGGGCTACCTATTTAGATATAGAAGATGTCCGTTGATTCAAAAAGATGTTGATAATTTCAAAAACATTTGCAAATTCGGAAAATGTTCTTGATTTAAAAAAACATGCGCGTATTTAATAAATCTTCACAATTTACGAAAAGTTCATGATTTCAAAAAATCTTTGTGAATTTGAAAATAATCATCATTTTCAAAATGCTTGTGACAGCAAAAAATGTTCACGAAATTTGAAAAATGTTCGCAAAATGAATAAGACAAAAAAATAAAGAAAAAACGAACATGAAAAGAAGGGAAAATCAAAATAAAAAAAAGGAAACGAAAAATAAAAAGCAGAAAACCACAAAATAACAATACAAAAGCTGGTCTATGAAGGATCTAGAACAAGGGGCTAGTTCAGCCAGCCCAAGTGTATGCGATGGGGGGGGGGGATCCGAGGGTACATGCTAGGTCACTATACGCGCCAACTAGGATCTGCCTCTTTTGTGCGCGAAGGAAACCCCCGTTGCATGAAGCCTATACCTAATGGGCCGGTCCAGCGAAGAAGGAGCGTTGGGTTTTTCTTCTTCTTCATTTGTTTTCCCTTTAGTTAAGTTTTTGAAATGGAAAAATATTTAAATTTTCAAAAACCGCTCACTGCACAGTAGAAAAAATATAGAACCAGTATTGTTGACTCAACTTTTAAATAAGTGTTTATCTCTACTACTTCAAAAATAAGTATTGTTTTTTTCTGCCCAGCAGAACTCTTCATCAACCGTTTCCCCTCTCCCACAACGTTCCTCCATCGTTTTATTTCATCTAGCCGTCTTTCTCCACCACGCCATAAAAAGGAAAATACAAAGCAGAAAAGAGGCCCGCTGAAAACTGACACATAAAGCCGTTGAAAACCGATGTACAAAAATAAGAAACCTCGAAAATGGATAAATGAAACACAGAAAACTGAAAAAATGCATGAAAAATTCTAAAACCGTTCCAAACTGATCTATAGAACATTCTCAAAACAGTTTTAATGGGTAGGCCCACTAAAAGGAAAAGGCCTGGGCACAAGACACGAGGCAGAATATGCCTCAGTGTATGCGAGATGTAGCTCATGCTCTAATATAAGGAATTCCATGTTCAAGAAAAAAAGGAATTACATGTTCTTTGCTCCTTTTGGCAAGGATAGTCTCTGTAAATCCCATGGCTGAGCGATATGGGCCCGCCCATGCTCAGCGGCCCCTGGTCTTGGGAGATTTTTATAATTTTCCTCTTTCTTGTGCTGGTTTGATGGTTTCTCTCTTTCTTTCTTTTTTGTTTTTTAAATTCATGAACAACTTTTAAGTTGCGAACATATTAAAAAAAATTGTAGACATTGAAAATTAAGCATATTAAAAACTATGCAGGCAAGCAATTGCTTTTTGTAAGGTGAACACCTATGTCATTCATTCAGTAATAGGAGTACAAAACAAAATTTCACCACGATCTAGAGACAACCAGAAGGACAATTGGCACACCACTTTTGCTAAAATAACCCTATAAACACATGGAATTCACCGGGGGACCCAAAAGAAGAAAACAAGCAAAAGCCGCCGACGTAAATGAGACCTTGTCGGACATATGAGATACACTACCATCTCGCGCAAGATCAAAGAAGTGTCATAGCAAGCAATGTTGCACCATGAGTCGATGAAGTAGGCCGTCGTGCGGCCCGAGACTTTGTAGCTTTGTCGGTCGTGGATCTTCCCCATGCTCCCAGGCCCGTGATTTCTCCATCGTCATCCGACATGGTCAGAGAGTAGACCTAAAGCCACATTCCTAAAACCGCCAAAGACATGCCAAGCCGAAAATCTTCTAGATAAGGTCACTACCATCGTGCTTGAACAAGACAACACCAACAACCCTGTTGCATCCGGAATAAGGCCACCGATCCATACCATAGTGCCAAAGAAAAGCACCTTGCAACGGCAGGACCGGAGCACAATGGGACTTCACAAAGTCGCCGCCACAGCCGCGTCTACCATGCATGACCAACAAACCTACCAGATCGGCCACAGAGGCACTTCATTTACCGCCATCGTCACCACCACTAAAGAAGAAGCCATGGTCAGGCGAACCCTAAGCAAGCTAGTCCTAAAACTACCACTAATAAACCCCTTGCGCGGGGGATTCATTGAACGGGAAGGAGAGCCGCCGGAGATAACACCGGCAAATGGAGGTGCAAAGGGCGAGCGGTTTCGCTTCTTTCCATCGGCACGGGACGAGCGAGGCGGTTGAGACGGAGCAATGCAATGTAGCGTACGTATGAGTTGTGCAAATATGAAATGAGTGTTTTTTGTTTTGTTTTTTGCGGGGGAATATGACATGGGTGTTGATGCCACCAGTTGTGTCTTTTCTGCTGTAGTGCCACGTGTCTTGCCTTTTAGTAACTTCCTCAAGAACCTATAGAGAACCCAAGGAAGGATTGACATCAATGGCAATAATAGGCTACTAATTACTCCTCGCCATAATAGGTTATTTTTTGGAAGGAATTGATTCGCCAAGTTCATTCCATCTATCATACACCCATATTCAGATGAACATGAAAGGTCTCCCCGGCCCATGTCATCCCCTTGTTCTGCTCAACTTTGGATTTGCAAGCTTTTTGCTAGCTAGTAATCTGGATTGGTTGGTGTGAGATCACCGCAGCCTCCCTCTCCCCGGCCTATAAAACATACTTGTGGAGCCCCAGCCAAGCTGCACCAATCGATCTCCAAACAAACCAATGGCGTGCGGCCACAAGGCGGCGGCGCGCGACGTCCCCGCCGTGCTCCTCCTCCTCCTCCTTCTCCTCGTGGTGTCTCTCGCCACGGTTACCAGTAAGTAAAACCTCACGATGTTTTCTCTTGGCGGCGGCGGCGGCGGTCATGTTGATTGACGATGATGCATGGTTCTCTATTTCCTTCCATTGCTTAACTACTAGGGTGTGCGTGGGTGGGCGACTACGCGTCGGACCACGGGTGCGGGAAAACGTTCGTGGAGGCGCTGTGCGACCCGGCGGACGCGGCCCAGAACCGCGCCTGCAGCGACGCCTGCCACTACAACGGCTGCGGCGGCGGCCGCTGCGTCTACGTCGCCACCGCCAGGGGCTGCTACTGCAAGCCCTAGCCCTAGCAGTCGCTTCCATGGTTCCATCCTCCTGCCGCGCTATTGCTAGCTAGTCGATCATGTGTTCCCTTGTTGAATTGAATTTGAATTTCAATAAAGAGGTATGCATCCAGTCTAGTGTAGGCATACATGTCAGATATACTCATACAGATACATGTCAGAAATTGCATGCTGG